GGGGGCACCTTACTTCTTCCTTCTCTCTGTCTGAACCTGTGTACTCTCATGTTCAGAGTAACCCAGCTTCCCCCAAATTTCTTTTTGGTGTCTATCTACGCTGGGATCCTGAGTCCTGGATCCTGAGCCCTGAGTCCTGGACTTCGAGTCGTGGCTAAACCTGTCTCTGCGGTCCTGACTGACTCTCATCATACTACTTCCCTGATGGCTCCCACAAGATTGCTGACATCCTCGTGGATTCATCTTCTTATTATAGACACATGCATTTCCAAACATTTGGGCTATATATTGTAAATGTATTATCTTTTTGATTTACACATGGCATCTATTGCACGTCTGTCCGTCCTGGGAGAGGGATCCCTCCTCTGTTGCTCTCCCTGAGGTTTCTCCCATGTTCCCCTTTAAACTGTGGGTTTTCTCTGGAAGTTTTTCCTTGTACGATGTGAGGGTCTAAGGACAGAGGGTGTCGTATTGTCATACTGATATTCTGTACAAACTGTGAAGTCCACTGAGAAAAATGTAACATTTGTGATATTGGGCTATATAAATAAACATTGATTGATTGATTGAGATGAGAGCAACCCATCAGTACTTGTCCCTCAACGTTCTTGCCGTGCCCCTTATTGGGTGAAAATATCTGCTGTCAATTGACTGGCTGCAAAAACTAATTCTGTATGGTAGGTTCTGTAGATATTTGCTAATACATCAAAAACAATTAAGCAAAGTAAAGTGTGCATGTTTGTATCTACATTGAGCCCAAATCCGATGGTTAGTCAGGGAAACAATGACACAATGTCATGGGAATCAATGGATTCAGGGTAGGCTCGTCCTGATGAGCAGGCTGCATTTATATACATTTACCTTGGAAGGTCTAGAATAGCATATCCCTGTGTTTTTAGAACTAGGGTTACAATACGTAACCTCGGCAAACAAACAACAATCACAAACAAGTTGCATCAGTAGAAAGACTATATGTTAAATGGCTTCAAAATGTAATTGTGTTAAGTCTTTTTTCTTACCTGTGGCGACTATAATCCCCGGTGCAGAACTCTTGGTGGAGATTGTTCCTGACAGGTAAGGGTTCTCTGATGTTTGCAGCTGTAGATTGAGTGAACAGAAAGGCTGCAGCAAAAGAGGAATACATATGTTAAGTTTAAGATGTAATACATATATTAACCAAATTGTCAAAATAGTGCATTTACATTTGCATCTCATTGGAAAATCCCTTTTACCTTGTCTAGATTTAGAGTTTATATGATATGAATTAATCCTATTTTCACAAAGAATCATAATACAGAGAGGGTCAAAAGAAAGGTTTGGAATGGAACCATCACAAAACAAGCCAGATGCATTAGTCTCCCAAAAAGAAAGGAATGTGGCTTCATACAGTTCTGCTAATTGCATTTGTTTTATCATTAAAACAAAGAGCTACGGAATTTGCATTAAAGTACGATGCAAAGTCTCTAGGGCATGCACACAACAGAAGACAATTACATTTGTTCACAGAGCAGAAAAAAGCGTGTCCGCCTTCATCTTTGCAGCAGACATTATGTCACTGGTGTAAGGACATCAAGGGCGATGGGACTGAACAGGGTCATCAAAAGGAATCAACAGCAGTAATTAAAATTTCACATGAATGCCCAATCACAGGGAACTGGTAAGCCACACCGCACGGGCCAGACATCACCTCTTAAACAACACGATCTCCCACTAATGTCTCTCAGCAGTCATGCTGTGAGTTTTAGTTAAAGGGAGACGAGATGCTGCCAACAAATACAGCATGGCATCTGAACTGACTTGTTTTTAAAGCACAATTAGTGAGAGTTTATCATTTGTATCATTGGGTGGCTGTGGTTCAGGGGGTAAATGAAAAATCAGAGGGTAGGTTGTTCGATCCCAAGTCAACCTTTTAAAAGGGCAAGATTGTCAACCCCCGGAAATGTTTCCAATGGCACATTTACTGTATTGAAGAATTTGTGATTTGCCCGATCAAAAACAGTCATGTCGACCCCAAAACACATTTTGAGGTCTGTTGGAAAGAGCTTTTGGAGCGGGACCCTCTTCGTTCATTCCTATAAGAGATGCTCAGCAGGGCCTGACGCCAAAATGGCCTGACCATTTGGATAAGAGTCAGCTAAATCACATGTTACGTAACACCTATAATTAATACTCATATCAGGTTTTCCACAGTATATTGCAGAGAAAAGGTAACAATGAACTATTATAGAATTTCTCTTATGATGTGACATGAAGAAAAAAGCTCTGTGATCCTCAAAATATTTTCCTGTGTAAGAAGTGGAGGCCCTGCAGGCACTGTGCCCAGTGTAGCTTGAAGAATCACTGAGACAGGTATACTTAAGTGAGAGGGCATGCAGGGGTCACAGAAGTTTTGGGTCTAGCAGCTGACTGGAAAATCAAACTATAACTTTTCATCTAAAATATATGGCTTTTATCATTTCAAATGTTGAGTGTTTTGTATTACCAGTGCAATTATACTTAATGGACGGACAGAATGGACATGCATTATAGTAGTATTAGTATAAGAAAGTCAGCAATTACCCATAAGTTTGTTGCACAAGGACACATGACTGCAGGGGATTTGTTGGACGACTATTTACCCCCTGAGCTGCCCCTTCCTTGTGCAGAACTCTTTGTAAATGAACTTGCCATTTCCAAAGTGTAATTACAAAATGTATTCTTACTAAACAATACTATAAGGTTTGCCACAGAATGTTGAAGTACTTTACATTTTATGTAGCACTTGTTGTATTCAAAGCGACTTACAATAAGAGTATGCAGGTTAATTTGCTTCAAATAGTGCTTGTGCATTCGTTTTGTAGTTTCAAATAGGCTAAACTATTTATATGCTATTAGTTTTAACAAAACTGACCTCTTCGAAAAATGAATTAAAATATGTTATTTTAAATCAGCTGGTTTATTATATGAAACGTTTTATAATTGAAAGGGTCTTCAGTATTACCAATTCAATACCACCTTCCAATAAGACAATGTACAAACACATTTCAACTACAAAAAGAAACGGACATTGAAATGTTATCCTTAGTTTCTAGACCAGCTAATGAATAACAACATCTCACTCACTACATGTTAAAGTAAACCATGTATATGGTTACTTTATATCCCATTGGTAATCAATGGATTTAGTCCATACGACTTGCAGTTCTTTTCCAAAGGAAGAACAATTCATGGGAGGATTTTCATGATAAACTACAGAGCTAGCAGTTTGAATCCCAAACCGACAGAATGGGTCTGGGTTAATAATAATATGACAATACCACATTTACATACAATAGCTTCTTATTAAATACAATCCCCTGTGCATAACATATTCTTAATGGTCACTACGTACCATAACATTGTCCCAGCACTTGCTGGGACAACCATGACCTCAGAAAATTAAAGAAATTAAAGACATGGCTGATAGCAAGCAAAGTGCTACCGATAATCCATTAATAAGGGTAATGTAACAATTATTTAAAATGATATAGTCAAATGTTTCTTATATGTCTTTGTAGAAACAATTGAACGTGCATCCCTCACCAGTATGCAGTGAATGTCGTTTCCATCCAGGTCAGTGGCAGGAGCCTGCAGGAGCCTCCAGTCCCGGCCCTTGTTGTAGGTCATGAAGGTCTTCACCTGGTTGTCTTGCCTCTTGTTTGCAATCAACATCCCTTTAATCCCTGCAACCTGACACACACACACACACACACACACACACACACACACACACACACACACACACACACACACACACACACACACACACACAGGTTAAAATCTCATCTCTACCCTCTCAGTGCTTTTTTATATTTACTTCTCCCATAACAGTTTAGTCTTCCGTTGCAGATGAAAAAGCATACCCAGAGCTCTCATCAGAAAGTGCATTTTGTGTATCAAGGCAGCAATCTTCTCAGTACAAGCGCAGTAAAATGCAAATGGTGTGTTTATTCCTTTCTAGCTGACAGTCAGGCAGCAGACTCGGCTGCATTTTTCTTACTCCTCGCTAAGTGCTATCTGTAATTATATCCTTACACGTCTCTGAAATCCAGACAGAACAAAAATGAAGACCGTTGAGAAGTTGTCTGTTTTAGTTGAATCTTCCCAAACACACTCCAAAATCAGGTTTTAGACACATCCCTCAACTTAACCAAAGCAATGGAAATAGTTGTTGCCATAGTAAGGGGCAATGCTGAGTCCCTGAAGGGAACATGTCTGAATAAGTGGCACTAATAGGCTGCACATCTGACATTGTAATAGAAACATGGCGCTCAGGATAGATGTGGATAACGAGGGGTCCTATCGTCCTCACCCAACCCGACCTGTCAATCACTGCAGTAATTATTTACTGCCTCAACCTCCTCCATCACATGTGCACGCACACACCTGCACACAAACAAGGAGACCCACGCATCCCCACCAGCATACACTTCTCTCCATCCATCCATCACTCACACCACCCACACTCTACTTTATTGACAACATGGTGAAGGACGCAGGCATATATCTCTATTCTACAGCAGATTACTCTGAGGGGTGCAGCACTAAAGGAATTCTCCCACTACTTTTAGAAACTGTTATGTGCCATCGCTGTGTTTTAAAGCAGTTCTGCCATTTGAGTAGGAATACAAAAAGGGGATAAAGCTGTAATGTGATCAGAGACAGGGAACATCCTGCTGGTTTTAATCATCTCTGCCACCATAAGTGACGCATGAGTCATAACCATAACCTTGGAAATAATCTTACATTTGTTATGGAATAATTTGCTTAGGTATTCAACCTTCGACCCAGTTCATAATTTTCTCTCTTTACTGTCTCCTTTCCCATGGCATAGTTCTACGGGTATTGCTGCTATCTCTCTTAAGGAGGAGAAGCTTGGGCGCATTGTTGTTGCTAGTCTATGACAGAGCACAAGCCCCCATGAGGTAGTTTACTGTTCAGGGACGTAGGCTCCCTGGCGCACATTCTTTCCTATGGACGAGAGCTCTAGTTAGATTCAGGGTCCATAGTTGTTTAGTCTCACTGATAAAGAATGTTGATTATTACACTCCGAACTAGTTAAAACCTTGAGCAACAGAAGAGTTCTTCAGAATTGGTTTGGCAACCGCTGTGTCAACTCGTGACACACCACCTGTCTTGTGAATTCTCCGGCCGTAAGTCCAAATAAACCACCAGTGTTTTCCATCAAAGCTCCATCTCTCTTCGTGCCTCTCTGAGTTCTGTTTCCGATTGCCTCAGAAGTTTCCCCCACAAATTGGCGTTTTCATTATTACATTTTTCAGTGTTATTTCGTGTTTTTAAGAAGGGGACAATGGTGGTTACACCTTTTAGAGACTTGCAACCAGTAGCTACAGTAAGTCATGTTTAGAAAGTAAGGGAAGCACATGGCTTACATAATTATATGGTGGCCGACAGTTGTTGACGCGCTAAAATGACCACAATGCAAATTGAAAAATGAAAATGTGACAAAATACATGCAAATGAAGACACATCTTCACTTAGAAAGCATTCACCAACTGGACGGCAAACTGTTACTGTTGGCAGACTCCGTTGCTTAATTATAAGCGTTTTGTTAGTATACTTCAAGGGACTAGGTTAGCTACGTTAGCTAGCTAGCTTATAACATATCTGCAATAATATCAGAGGGAATCATAATAATAATAATAATAAATGGGATTTATATAGCGCTTTTCTAGACCCAAAGACGCTTTACATTATGAGTCAGGTCGACAAACAAAACAAGAACAAAAACACAAACAAAAACAAAAACAAAACAAAAACAGAAAAGCAGTCAGGAGGATGTTGGTTCAGAGGGGGGTCATGTGAGTGTGATGTATCATGTGTATCACATGTATCACATGTATCACATGTATCATGTGAGTATATTGTAAATAAGTCAATAAAACTTATATTTTAGGTCTGTTTTCAGTGACAGTTGGCCAACTTTACACAAATACACAAATGTCAACAGGCGCTCAAACATATTGAGGGCAGCACAAGCTCTAAACAAACATTGTGACTGTATAAAGTACTGGAGTCTGTCGATTTAGTCCCAATAGCACACAAAAGGGAATTCGGACATAACACAGGATGGGAGTGACTTGAGTCGTCAACATGTACTGCACATGAAAGTGATTTGTTTTGCATTTCAGGCTAATCTACATATCCCTCATATAGCCATATGTGAACAATAAAACTCAACCATTTGAGTTTATTGCATCATATGATCACAACAAATTAATATAATCTGTCTTCAATGCAGCGTTTCCAAATCAAATTCCTGTTATTTTCAATTCAACTGAGCTTTCATTAATTATTTATTTACAATATTTGATTGTATTGTTTGGTTACATCTTTGGACAGGTGTGGAATAAAAAAATGTCATTGTATGTCACATGACTTTAAAGAAAATACATGTGCCAGTTTTTTAAATTGTATTATTATGCAATAGCCCACCAGTTTAGTCCTGAGCCTGTTTTTCAGGTCTCAGGCTCGAAAATGACATTCCCAGAACAAATGACCATATCTTCCCTTCTAAAAGGGTTAAATTAATAATATTTTTTCTCAAAGTAATGATAAACCTGTGAGTTGGATGTAGAAAAGTCAGAATCAATATAGATGTTTTTTATTTTAAAGAAAATCCAGATTGAACATAGTAAAAAACTGTAAATTATAGTGTCCGTCCAAACATTATTTTGTACTTACAGTGAAAACTACCCTTGGATGATGGTAAGATAGACTAAAAGCTTTAGGAATCCAAAGTACAACATATAAGTACCCTGTATCAAGATTGATGCAAAACAAGTGACATTTGATCTTTTTAGAGAGGTTTAACAAAGAAAACTCCACCTCTGAGGTGATTTGGGTGGAAATGGGGGTTTTACCGTTTCTCTGGAACCCATTGGTCGATTTTGGTGATTGACATCTCTTTCTGACCGTTAGAGCCAATATAATCGAAGGGGAATCTCCCCACACACACCCATGGTAAAACAAAAAGGTGGGGGCTTCGCGCACGCAGTTTTGCTCCCGAGTGAAGCTGTCTCTAGGTCTGACATCTCAAAACCGAAAAGCAGATTTATTGCTCATGGATTATCAGAAATCATTCAAAGTTACACAGACACATTGGATTAACCTATGGATTAACTTCAGCATCGTTTTGATCGTTTTTAATGCCATTGAAGACCACTTTTGACCAGATAACGACACAGGTAAAC